CTTGGGTGATGGGAATTAGACTTAATCTTCATAGCTTCAGAAAGAACTTGGATCATTGACAGAAAATCAGAGTGAGACCCATTTTCATTCAACACAAGGAAAGACTTCATAGCTTTTAATGGTGCAAGATGAGCAGGGGTGCCTTATAAGGAGCCATTCATTTAATAACATATCGAAAAAAAAGAATGGAGGCATCCCTGTGAGGAAAGAAGGCTAAGTAATTTCTCACTTCAAATCTAAGGTATTATATACTATTAATGTTATATTTTTTTGATTTAGTGGAAGGAGTATATACCACCAGTTTTCCCATAGGCAAAAACCATGAACATCATATAGTCTAATCTGCTATTGAAAAGGTACTAAAGCACATAATATCACTCTTGAGAATATAATTAACTTCTTATTAGCCATCTAAAATGTAGAAAATTTTCCTAAAGATTAATTTCTATGCAAGAGAAATATGTCCACTCTTTCAAAGCAGACGGTAAAATCATATGAAATATCTATGTTGGAAAGTTTCAAAACTAGCATCATGATTTATGTGTTGTGTTTGTGGACCTAACCAGAACACTTGAGTTTGTCAACCAAGCAACAAATGTGTATGTCAGCAAACTCTGAAGGATTGACTTTCCAGAGAAGGTTAAAATGTTTTCTTGATCTGTGTATAGAATTGTAGGTATAAGAGCAGCAAACCATATTTTTGAATCTCTGTATATATAATAATGATCAACATTATCTGTGTTTTGAGCCAACTATTGTTATATTATGTTACATATAATAACTCATTATGCAGTGAGTTTATTTTCACAGAAGCAAAATGCTGATAATTGTTCAAGGTCCTATGTATTTTCTGGTACATGTTTATTTCAATAACTGTAAAATGTGTTCTTAAAACAATCCCCCAGTTAACTCTTATTTACCATTTTACACCTTGCTGAATGATTTAGACTGGAATTCATAGATAATCATTTTATCTTCAAACCATTATATCTTGCCATGCTGCTCTTAAAAATAGAATGGATATTTTGTTACTAAATTACTGGTTTCTTTGAATGCCTGAATAAAAGAAGATCATAGTACTTTTACAACAAATCCTAATGCAAAATATGATAAAGCATCTTGTTCTGCTAACCACATTTCTATGAAGTCATTAGACTTCAAACTTGGCCTTTTTCATCTCAAGGAGACTGACCAGTTTCATCTATACTTCCTATAATGTGCAGTCATTCATGCAGTCATTCAAAATAGTCATCAAATGTCCACTATGTTTTAATCATTATGTTGAAGGAGCATTTAGTCTTGACTTCAGACATAAGGGAACGTTTATCAGAGAAAGCAACATTTAAAATGAGAGCTGAAAGGAATAGTTGCTAGCCAGAAAAGAGAAGGGACAAACATTCCATCACAAGAGATTTGCATTCAAGAAGCCCCAGAGGAAAAAGAGAGCATGGGGTAATTTGAGAATTTCAGATGGTCCTATATGACGTTAGCATAGTGTACAAAGGTTTCAGTGGCTAGAGGTAAGGCTGGGGGTAACCAGATAATAATGTCTTTCATTCCATAATAGAGAGTTTTTAATTCATCCTGAGGATAACGGAGAACTAATGCAGGCTTTCCAGCAAGAAAATGGCATGGATTGATAAATTCCATAGTATGACCACTTTGATTACACGATGGGAAATCACTAGGTAAAACAAAAACAAACAAAAAAAAACATTAGAAGTAGGATCTTAACCTAAATTCTCTCCTAGTAAGCCAGGTAAAAGATGACAGCAGCCAGATAAAAATCATAGTGACAAGGAAGTAAAGAAATAGAGAATAAGAGAATCATGGAACATGATGATCAAACAGGTTCTGTGGAATGAGAGAGGCCTTGAGATTGCTGGCCTGGGTAATTACGCAGATGATAGTGACTCTAGATGAAATGGGCAATTAGGTTTAAAAAGAGATGAGCTTAATTTTTGACATTCAATTTCAAAGTGCTTTTGTGTTATGCAATATGATCTATCCAGGAAGCATTTGGAAATGCAAGCCTAGAATTCATCAGAGATATCTATCTAGGTTGAATATATAAAATCTAGAGGTTTTGGCAAAGAGGTGATAACTAAAGTCATAGTAATGGATAGAATCACCAATATAGAATGCGTAGGGGAAAAAAAAGAAAAAAAGATGAGAGCCAAAGTTAAAATCAAAGACCAATCTTACTGAACAGAAAGGGAAGAAAAAGTCCGTGAAACAGTAGGAGAAAAAAATCAGCAACCTAGACTAGTAAAGAAACCATAGGAAGAGAAAAGTTCAAAGAGTGGCCAGAAATATTAGCTGCTGCAGAAAATTCATGTATCATGAGGACCTACTATTGTCAGTAAATTTTGATTTATCAACAAAAGTCTTATGAGTGAGCCTAGAGTTATAATAAAATCAGGAGCTTTTTTAAATCATGGAGAGCTAAAGGGAGCTAAGGAAATAGAAATCAGGAATATAAACAGTGCTTTTAAAGTGTTTATTGGGTATGCTCACTTTGGCAGCACATATACTAAAAAATTGGAACGATACAGAGAAGATTAGCATGGCCCCTGCACAAGGATGACACGCAAAAAATGTTTATCGGGTGCCTGGGTAGCTCAGTTGGTTAAGCCTCTGACTCTTGGTTTCCACTCAGGTCATGGTTTCAGTTTGTGGGTTTGAGCCCTGCATCAAGCCCTGTGCTGACAGTATGGAAACTGCTTGGGATTCTCTCTCTCTCTCTCTCTCTCTCTGCCCCTCCCCCACTTGCACTCATGCATGCACATGTGCACACCCACACACATTCTGTCTCTTAAAATACATAAATAAACTTTAAGTAAATAAAATAAAATGCTTATCAAAAATAGTCCCTAGCCTTCAAAGATTGGAAGCCCTGGAGATATTTTTGAGCTATGAAAATCTTGAACCAACCTCAAGTCCTAATGGGAAAAATGAGCAAAGAAGGAAAAAACATAGATGCTAGAGAAAATGGGGAGGTGGTAAGGTAAGAAATCCAGTTTAGGCAGAAAGTAGTTTTAGACAAAGGACAAAACACCACTTCCCATGGACTGCAATGAATTTTAAAGGGATGGAAAGTAGTGCAAGACCAGTGATGAGTCTTACAGGAAATTGAGGAAACACTCAAGTGAGTGCTTCCTTTTCTCTGAAAATCTGGGGCTATCATCTGCTGAGAGAGAGGTGGAGAATTAGAGTATTTGAGATTTGTATGCTATTATATAAGAAACTGTATCCATTTTGCATTATAATAAAATGTATCTGTAAGTGGCATAATGTATTTTCAAATATAGCCCCCCATGGTAATAACCAAAACAAATAGTAGCCTAAAATTTATTATGATGATGTCATGATTTCACCCTAGGAAATAGCAGAAACTCTGAAAAAAAAAAAAAGTCTATAGAAGCCCTAAAAAAGTTACAATTCCATGACAATGTCTATAAAGCAAATGACTTCAGTTACTGTTTGTTGTGAATGACCACACATACCATAGCAAATCTTTTCTGGCCATTAGAAGACACATGAAAAATAAATATGTGCTTCTTGATGGACTGAATAGAGCCAAGAGCCCAGCATATGAGTTCCAGGCCAACTTCAATATGGAGCCCATAGGTGTCTCTATGGCCCCAGCAAAGCTGGGCAGATCAATTCACTAACATATACAACGATTACCGACTTTTTTTGCTTCTCAACTTTTCTTTTGCTATTGTTTATAAGATATCATCCTTCTGGTCAAGCTAAACCGCAACTCCTAATTCCTCCGATTTCCTCCTTTTTTCCAACTCCCAATGTCAAATATCATGTTTCCGCTAAACAGCATTCAGTATTGCATTCCTGCAGCCATGTTTCTTATTTGCCACTTTTAAATTATCTTCCCAAAGTAGAAATAAATGAGTATAGGTTTGGATGTTATTTTACCTTTTTCTTACACTTGATTCCTCTCAGTGCCTGGCATGTAGCTCTTCCTAAGTCCTTACTGCATGAATGATTGCAGTGTGTTAAAGATAATTTTACTTTATGAGAATTTTAATTACAAAACTGCATACTATTCTGAAACTAGTCTCATTTCCTTATGGAAATGTCTTAAAGCATATTACTTGAATACCTCTTATTATGCAGCCTGAAAAATAAAATATTGACCTGAGATTCCCGGTTTCAGATTGGGTCCCTATTTATAAGGAGTTATTAACATTTGACAAAATTAGATGAATAACATTCTTAGAGGAGTAACTAGGCTAACCTTTTCTTTTCTTTTCTTTTTTCTATTGATGCCTCATAAAATATTTATGCTTTTTACCTTTGTTTGGTTTTAAAAAATCCACTGACAGGCATGCACCAAGTTCCCAAAGTTTTTAGTATTTTTCTAGCACCTTCTGGAGAAGACACATAGATGGCCAGATGATATAATCAATTTTAGAAATTTGTGAAATATGTTCCCCAGATTATAACAAGAGAAAAATTTATACAGAGATTGATATAAGAAAAAGAGAAAAGAAATTCTTACTGTCAGTATAGCTACAACAGCCTGGTATTAATTTCTCTTATGAAATAACATCTTTAAAAACTATATATATATATATATATATATATATATATATATATATATATCAGGGATGTACCTGGGTGGCTTAGTCGGTTAAGCGTCCAACTTCAGCTAAGGTCATCATCTTGAGGTCTGTGAGTTCAAGCCCTGTCTCAGGCTCTGTGCTGACAGCCTGGAGCCTGTTTTGGATTCTATGTCTCCTTCTCTCTCTTTCTCTCCCCCACTTGTGTTCTGTCTCTCACAAATGAATAAACATTAAAAAATTTATATATATATATATATATATATATATATATATATATACACACACATATCAAGAACTCTTTTAATGATATGTGTGTGTGTGGTCACAGAGCACATGTATTTATAGGTAGGGAGCTGTATGATAAATTACATTCTCTCATTAAATGAAAAACAAACTCTCGCCTTTCCTTTACAGAACTGTCAACATCACACTACTGGTGACTTCTGTGAACGATGTACTCTTGGATATTATGGAATTGTAAGGGGACTGCCAAATGACTGTCAGCAATGTGCCTGCCCTCTAATTTCTTCTAGCAACAAGTAAGATTGAGAAATATTACCAGATTCCCCAATCAGTAGCACCATCTGTGTAGCATACAGGCTTTCTATTTCTGTTTTTTTTTTTTTTTCCGTGTAGACAAAATCTCAGTTTAAGACAGAATATTTTGGGGGCACCTGGTGGCTCAGTTGAGTGCCTAACTTCAGCTCAGGTCACAATCTTATGATTCGTGAGTTCGAGACCTGCTTCGGGCTCTGTGCTGACAGCTCGGAGCCTGGAGCCTGCTTTGGATTCTATGTCTCCCTGTCTCTGCCCCTCCCCTGCTGGTGCTCTCCCTCTCTCTCTTTCAAAAAACTGAATAAAACATAAAGAAAATTTAAAGAAGAGAATATTTTTAAACACTATAAAAACGTGACAAAAGTGGGCACATAGTCCTCCATGGTTTATTTTTCCATTAAAACCCAGTCCCAACTAAATAATATGTATTGGTTAAAATTTAAATACTAATATTGACATAAGTTATGTTAATGACATAAATGATATATGTATACACATGCACAATTTTATACACTTTTATAAGGGTCTTGTATTTGCATGTAGTTCTGTCATAAACTCAGCTATGGGGAAGTGTTTCAGTGCATATCATCTCCCTTTGGAGAGAAGTATTAAGAAAATAGTTGAAAAAAATTGTTAAAGGAGGGTGACTTATTTTTATACTCTCAGAATCACAGCCCCTTTCTATTAAGATGGTCTGAGCTTGGTACCATGGAAACATGGCCATAAGGGGAAACAAAAGCTAGACTATTTTATTTCAGTGTTGTCTGCATGTTCTGCATTGGTTTATATATTGATAAAAAATCCTTTTTGTAAAGGCTGTCTATATTTTCTGCTAAGTGATTTATGGACTGCAGTCTCTACATGGTAGAACAGTGTTTTCTCTAAGAACTTGCTTTTGAAAAGAATGTGTGGCAGTTCGTTTGGAATTAGAATCCTGGACTCCGTATCTTGACTGCATAAAACCCACAAAACAACTTAGATAAAGAGAGGATTCCACCCGTGCTGACTCAGGTTTTTCTTCATCATTGGCCTTATATACATTCTGAAACATTTTCAGGTAAATTGACTCTCTTTCTTCTGCAAGCTCCTCTATTTTTGTTTAAAAGAATCACCAGTCTTTAATCAGATGTAAATTTTTAGGTAAGTGGGTTATTGATAAGGATAAAATACGTTCTTTTTGTTCACCCAAGCATCAACTGGTAGGTGTATGAAAAATAACATTATTTCTATTTTTCCTCTCTCTAATCTCCCTCTGATGACCAGATTTAAACAAAGAGAATGTTAATTATTTTATCATTTATTAAAAGAGAAAGTTAATTATTTTATTATTTATTAAAATGGGAGCCATTGGATTAGAAAAATTCAGTAATTGATAACTTCTTTGATGACAATCAAGTATAACATGTATTGAAAAGGCTCACAATAAAATGTCTTAAGAGAAGTCAACTTAAATGCAAAGAGAATTCAAAAGCACAAGACACCACCCTTGACTTTGGAAGCTTCAAGAACATATTGGAAGAAGTAGTACCATTTATAATAGATCATGAATGGTGGATTGAAAGGTTTTTACTGGTGGAGATAGCATGAGATTATATGAACAAAAACTTAGAAAACAAAAAACACAGGCACGTTGAAGAACTAATAAGTAAGAAATTGGAGCGTGGGAGTTCAAATAGAATTCATAATTGCAGATGAAAATGAGTGAGGAGAATGGCGCCCATATTATAGAAATCCTTGAATACCAGTCTAAGAAATTACTATTTAATTGTCTATATAATGAAGAAACACTGCAAACTTTTAGTTAAAACAAACAAAAAAAGGTTAATGCAATCAGTGCTACACTTTAGAAAGCCTGTTATAAGAGAGCTAAGTAAAATGATTTGAAAGAGGCAAAGAAAAAGGTGAAGCAATTAATAAGCTATTACACTAATTTAGACAAAAGATAATTAGAACCTGAAGGTAAGTAATAGTAAGAAGAAGGAAGATGAGGAGATAGATGGGAACAATGTTGAATGCAGCTCTACAGAACTAATAGCTAATTAGATATGAGGGGTTCAGGCCAGGCAAGAGTTGAAGCCAAAGGTTTTGAGCCAGGCTGACCTCAAAAATCGTAGTGCAATTAACTGAAATAGGGAGATCAGGAGAGCTACTGCAGAGGAAAGACAATTTATGTTCCAAACAGGTTAAAATTGATGTGAAAGATCTGTCCGAATGGAAATATGCAAATAGCTACAGGAAATAGAAACATGAGAACTGGAAGGGCAGATGGAGGAAGAGATACATTAATAAATGAATTAAAATTGGATAAGATTTCCCAGGGTTATGTGACCCAAGGGGGAGTATGCGGAAAGAAGGAAAGACAGAATTAACCTACACTAGAGAAACCAGAAGGGAAAGAAGAGCCAAGACAGGAGCTGTCCGGGGGGGCAAAGGAAGTAAGACCACATTGCAGTGGGCACCGTGGGAGAAAAGAGTAGATGCCCCTAATGGAGCCTGAGCACTTACAGCAGCAATTAACCATGAGGGTCATCGAGGAGTGTTGACAGTCCATAGTGGAAACAGACATTATGTTACAAGGATGTCAATTTATCTCTAGGAAATTTCAAGGAGGAAAAGAAAGAGTGCTAGGATTGGTTAGCAGGATCAATAAAATTGTGTGTTTTATTGCTGTTTCTGTGGTTTATATAATCCAAGTATATTTTTATGGAAAGTACCTTATAAGAATCAGAATGCCGAATCTTAGACGCTAGTTCAGTGACTGTCAGACTTTATTAACTGCAAACACTATAAGAAATCATTTCTTTTTACATCATACCTTGGTGCACACACACACAAAAAAAACCCTTGTGTTTATATAATCTCTATTTATAAACATATATCCAATAATTTTTCTCAATTTTATTCTGCATGATTAGAAGACATTTTAGTCAAAACCCACTAATATGATTTCCTGACCCACTAATATCACCACCTAAATCTTGCAACATTAATTGACAAAGCAAAGACCTGTGTATGGTAAGAAGAGAAGAGTTTAAATGCAAAGCAAAAAAACCCAGCCAGGGCAAAGAAGAAAGGCATTTCTTCCTGAGATATAAAAATAGATTCTGAAATATAGATGGAGAATGCTGAGACACCTCTCTTCAATGACCTCCAACTGTGTAGCCAATGAAAAGTAGGGAGTATGGCATGGTGAATGGTTACTAACTCACTTCCACATATTAGTTTTTCAATATTTCTTACCAAAACAAATAGGACAAACTGTCAACCACTGTGACAGTGCAGCATTGCTCTGGGGTTTCTCACTGCCTACTCAGAGAAAGGTGAGGTATTTTTTTCAGCAGAGTAGAAGAAACCCTCTACCCTCTACAATCTGACCACCTTTCCAGGTGAATGCCCTCTCCTCCCTTCTACAATGATGCTACATTTGAGTCTTTTGCTCCTTGCCAAGCATGCCAATAATTTTTGCCAGACAGAGAAAGAAAAAAAATGATATTGCTTTCCTTATAATGTGTGGGATTAAAAAATAAATAACTCATAGAGTGTAGAGAGGTGGTTACCAGGGGGTGGGAGGTGTGGGAGATTGGGAGAGCTAGTTAAAGTATACAAATTTCCAGTTATAAGATGAATGAAATCTAGGGATCTAATATATAACACGGTAACTATAGTTGATAATAATTTATTGTATAATTGAAACTTGCGAAGTAAATAGAACCTGTGTTCTCACCAAAAGAAAGAAAGGTAAATATGTGAGGTGATAGGTGTTAATTAATTTTACATATATGTATATCAAATCATCACATGCACACTTTAATTACATCACAACTTTTTTCATTTGCCCGTTATACTGTGATAAAGCTGAACAAAACACAAGTAGATGTATAACATAATATCAGACAGTGAAAGTGCTACCGGGGAAAATAAAGCAGCCTCAGTGATTTGAGATACTTGCATATTATTGAGATGGAAAAGACTGGGGTCCCCTCTCAGACACGGTGCTCACGAAGGTCTTCATGAACAAATGAGGCTTGTGCAGAGACTTGAATGAAGTGATGGGGAGAGCCATGTGACTCCCTGGAGGAAGAGACGTCCAGCCAGAGGAAAAAGCCACTACACTGGCCTGGAGACTGGCCCATGCTTGGCAGACAGCAAGGGTCCAGGGCCACTGGAGCAGACTGAATGGTGTTAGGGGAAAGGTGACAAGAGAGGAGGCAGGAAAGCTCCGGTAGCTTGTGAAAGGCCCTAATGGCTAAATGTCTTCCAATGGCAAGAGGTGGCTTGGAACCGGGTAATGCAGTGATGTTACTGATGGTAGCAGCAGTTTCAGGTAGAATGTGTGTGGAATGTGAGAGAAAGGAGACAAGGTTGACTCTGTGGTTTCTGGAAGAACAAATAGAAGTGCAGAGTGACCTTGGATGAAATGGGGGGAATTACAGACGACCAGGGGTATTTTTTGGAGGTGGGGAACTCAGTTTTTGATTTGTTAGTGTAGATGCAAAGGTTTTCAGATGGAATGAGATCAGTTTAAGGGAGAGAGGACAGGACAAGATAGGAGAAATCTGAAGACTGAACTGGGAGACACATAAAGAGGTCGAGGACATGATGTATAAGGGCCTCCACAAAGGAGACTGAAAAAGAACAATTGATGAACAGAGTAAAAAGGAGAAGGGGTGGTATCCAGGAAGCCAATTCATCTCTGTAGTGTCCACAAGAATGACATAGACTAGCAAACTCTAAATCTTAGAAACTCTATTGAGGCAAATTTGGAATTAGCAAACATAAGGAAATATAAAAGATAGCCACCCAAGAAAAAGCACAAGGATTTAAGAGTGGCCCTGCAGACAGTATGAGCATTGAGTGTAGATGATGGAGTTGTGAGCAGAAAGAATCAACTCTATCTTCAAGGAAGTTATGATTCCTACCCCCTCCTTCATGAAGTCCTTGCGTATGACATAGGGAAAGGCTTCAATCCACCATAATATCATAACTCAAAAAAGTTTATATCAGCTATTCAAGGAGAATTATAACATCCTTTCATAGTAATTGAGACAGATCTATTACTGTAAATGAATATAATTTAATTAATGTTGGGTCTCTAGAGTTTCAATTGAAATGTCTAAAAATTTGTTTCCAAGTATCTATCTATATTTCTAGATTTTATATTTCATATTTATATATATAGTAGATGATGTTCCTATAACTAATATATATGAGTTTGAAATGTGAAATAGAAGTTTGTGTGTGTGTGTGTGTGTGTGCATGTGTGTATGTGTACAGACGCATTCAGCATCAAGCTTTAGCTTAAAGAGCTAAAAGCTTGCCAGAATATGTCAATTACGTGTTTGTGGCTCTATTTTGTAAAGGCAAAAAATAAATTTGTTGGATAGAGTTTGTGAGTAGTAGATCAATTTGCTCACCTATTTTTCAAAGGTTAGAGTTTATTACTCATTCATGTACTATTGATTCAGTGCACTAGAAGATAGTTAAAATAGGGTCCAAATGGCACCAGACCAAAAGGAGTTGTGGCCCTGGTCTATACACTATATATCTTTTTCAGCATAAACTTCTTTAGGAGACCAACAAAAAGAATGGAGTTTGCAGCATTACCATTTTGTAACAAACACACATATATATTTTTCTTTCTAAGTTCCCAGTGCACCATGCAGTGTTATCTAGTGGGAATCCTCTACTTATCCTTGAAAGAAGTTGGTAACAACCTAAAATTACATGTTAGCACAGGTTAGTTTTCAACTCTTGTTAAGTATTTCTTTTGTAGGGTAAGATGATCAGAAATCCTGGCAAACCCTGACTCTGCTCCACCGGTGTGGACAGGGCGAGTTATATTAAGACCTACTTCATAGAAAAGATCACAAAATTGTCAGAAAATCTTACTCATTGTCATGCAGAGTGCTTTCCCTTCTTACGCTAAATCACCTTACTTTGTGTTTAAAAAAAATTTAGTTTGAAATCCATGGGTAAATTAGAAAAGGCACTCTTATTTTAAGTGAAATATTTATTCACACTTTATGTGTTCAAGGGCTAGTGGCAATTTGGGTCAAGTTTTCAGAAAAAAAAGTATATAGTTTTAGGACCATTGTTTTTTACTTGAAAAATATTCAGTAATACTTATTCTGCTATCAGACAAATGTGCACGAATTCTAGTCATATTTTTCTTTCAATTCATGGGAAATAAGACACTTTTACTGAATGTTTAATATGCTTACTAATGTTTATGGTTGTTGTATAATTATTAAAATTTCAGAATGTTTACATAGTCAGTGTGAGGCATTGCAAATTCATTAAAAACCCACCATATTTTTTGTTGACTATTATGGGTAGTGTTTAGTTGTGATATCCTACCCTTGAATAAAAACTTATAAATAATTATAAATACAGCATTTTTACCATCCCAAGTTAAATTTCAATCATCTAGATAATGGATAGAATTACTTAAAATTATTTTGTTTTAATTTTTAATGCTTGTTCATTTTTGAGAGAGAGAGATAAAGCATGAGCGGGGAAGAGGTAGAGAGAGAGGGAGACACAGAATCCGAAGCAGGCTCCAGGCTCTGAGCTGTCAGTACAGAGCCCAATGCGGGACTTAAACCCACCAACCGTGAGATCATGAGCTGAGCTGAAGTCAGCCACTTAATCGACTGAGCCACCCAGATGACCCATTAAAATTATTATTATTTTTTTTAATTTTTTAATGTTTTATTTATTTCTAGGAGAGAGAGAGAGAGACAGTGCGAGCAGGGGAGGGTCAGAGAGAGAGGGAGTCACAGACTGAAACAGGCTCCAGGCCCTGAGCCGGCAGTCAGCACAGAGCCCGACGCGGGGCTCGAACCCACGAACCGCGAGATCATGACCCAAGCGAAAGTCGGACGCTTAACCGACTAAGCCACCCAGGCTCCCCCATTAAAATTATTTTTTAATGTTTATTTATTTTTGAGACAAAGTGAAACAGAATGAGAGTGGGGGAGGGGCAGAGAAGAGGGAGACACAGAATCTGTAAAACGCTCCAGGCTCTGAGCTGTCAGCACAGAGCCCGACATGGGGCTGGAACCCGTGAACCAAGAGATCATGACCTGACCCAAAGTCGGATGCTGAACCAACAGAGCCACCCAGGTGCCCCAAGAATTACTTAAATCTATGAAATAAATAGGTTAAAAGATTTTTTACTGTCTTTTTTTTTTTTTCTTTCTGATTCAGTTTCAGCCCTTCTTGTGTCATGGAAGGCCACGATGATTACCGCTGCACAGCCTGCCCACGTGGATACGAAGGCCAGTACTGTGAACGGTAGGAACAGTCATAAAACATAGAGATCATACAATCACAGGTCACAATAGAAAACTATCCCTTATATTCACAGTTTATTTTCATTTTCCCTGGTAGTTCATATGATTCCAAAACTATTTTTACTTTTATATCTATAGACTTTCTCCAAAGAAAGGTGTTTATTTCCATCCGAGGCTTTTTCGAGGATTCCAAATGATTTCACAATTACATAATTTATATTTTAGTGTATACATATCTATATATCTATATTTAGTGTACATGTATATGTCTAGTGTGCACATATCTACACATATGCATATTATCAGCAGTTAACAGTAATAAAAAGCTGGTTACACATAATTCTTATCTTAATTCACTGGAAACTACTGGCTAACTCTTAACTGTGTTCATGTCACTGTTCTGAGCACTGTGGCACCATACCACCAAGTGCACACATAATTCATAATATGAGTGTAACAAGCATTCTTCATTAGAACAACACAAACAATAAAGTGTTATTTGGTTCTCTTTTCCAGTAAGCAAACCATATTATTTAAATGCTTCCTCTCGTCTTATTTTTTTAAGCTTTTTAAAAAGTTTTTATTTAAATTCCAGGTAGTTAACCTACAGCGTAATATTAATTTGAGGTGTACAAATTAGTGACCCAATACTTAGATACAACACCCGTTGCTTATCACAAGTGGATTCCTTAAACCCCATCATCTATTAACCCATCCCCCCACCCACCTCCCCTCTGGTTCACCATATTTTTTTTCTTACAGAATCTGATAATGTATTTATGTAGCTATTAAATAGAATACTAACTGTAATACAAATGGTAAATTAAGAACCAATTAACCAATTTCTTGTGTAAATTAAGAAACAATTTCAGACTATCTAGTTAGGTTGTAATTAGTACCTTCTGGGTCCATATTTTCCATAAGATCTTGGATATTGAAGCTTATCACAACCACTTTTAGTATGTTTTAGGTATTATCTCCAAAGTAACTAATATTAACTACCTTATACACACATGATAATTTGCATTAATTGATACCAATATAAAGTTTTTATTCATGGACATGGGCTAGCTTTACCAACTTAGCTAGGACCCATTTTCTCATCTGTAGTATCAGAATAGCTTATGCTCTACTCACTTTACACTAAAATTGTGAAGATCAGATGTGTAGAGGATACTGTTGGTGCCCTGCCTCCATGCCTACATGGAAACCTCATCTCCCATAAGAGGGGCAAAAATGATCAAGAATTTACCCCACTTTCCTCCAGTGGCCCATAGCCAATGACTAGTGTGGGAGTACAAAATCCAGATGCTTATGCTTATGCTTATAGTTATTCCAGATCTTTCTGTGGAATTAGGCTAAGACTGGGATATCACCTAAAACCATACCCTTGTTTCCTTTCTTTTCTGTGTCTTGCTTGACCCACTCCTTTGCTGGTTTCTTCTAGGAACACTTCCTTAAATTGTCAATCTCTTTGCAAATATAAACCGATATTAATTAATTAAATCATCACTCATTTAAATGCTTTCTTTTAGGGGTGCCTGGTTGGCTCAGTAGGTTGAGCATTTGACTCAATTTTGGCTTGGGTCATGATACCTGAGTTGTGAGATGGAGCCCCACATTGGGCTCTGCACTGAAAATGGAGCATATTTAAGATTCTCTCTCATTCTCTCTCTGTCTCTCTCCCTCTGCCCCTCTCCTCTGCTCATGTTCTCTCTCTCAAAGAAAAAAAAATTATGGGACACCTGGGTGGGTGGCTCAGTTGGTTAAGCATCCAGTTGCTGGTTTCAGCCCAGGTCATGATCTCATGGTTCATGAGATTGAGCTCCATGTCAAGCTCTGGGCTGACAGTGTAGCCTGAATTCTCTCTCTCCTTATCTTTCTCTGCCCCTTCCCTGATCTTGCTCACACTCTCTCTCTCAAAAATAAATAAACTTAAAAACATCTTCAAATTTAAAAAAATTAAAAAATAAAAGTCTTTTTATATAACCAGCAATGGTTGTGTTAATAATGCAAATAATAGATAACGAAATAATTACAAACCTAAATTTTATAAATTCCAGTGAAGTTTCTACAAGGTTGCAAAATATATTTCCAAATAATTCTATATGTGATAACTCTAAACAGAATATCCACTAGTTATATACATATATAGATATGTATATAGTACATTCACAACTTCCATGCCAATAGAAATTAACAACTAAATAATTCAAAGCAATACAAAATCCAAAAATATTTCTATTTGTTTGGAGATATGTATAACATTTGACTATATATATTTGTAATACCCACCAGTATGCTTTGGTATTCATGGTTAGGCTAATATTGATTTCATGTCCTTGTAAATATGAGTAGAATGATGACTAGAAGCATCCCTGGACACCAAGGGTATTATCTGTGGTAATTTATAAAAAAAAGAATGTTCAATAGTATACTACATTTATAAATTGGAGTTACCATTATCTATGAAAGCATGTATACAGAAAAGACTGTAAGGGTGCCCTGAAATGACAATTACTGTCATAAGGCAAAGTCATTATAGAAAATTTATTATTTTAATATCCACTAATGTTTAGTCAATAGGAGTTGACAGTTCAGATAGTATACTATCAGAAGTGAATGGCTTGAATTTTTTTCACAGTCTCAAATGTTGTTACAGCTTTTCATTCATCATCTCTAACATAAATGATCAACTTATATTTCCCTGAAAAATTGCTTTTATTCAGCTAAATTAAACCAAAGGTCTTGCTTAAATTTTTATTGTAACTTTCCAAATAAATTTGTTCCACTTCTGAGAGTTTCTTAAATCATTTGAATCACCTTATGACCTGCCTAAGCTCATCAGCTCAGGCCTAAAATTGCTTATATGTCTTGAATGTTCATGTAATATAGAAACCCCTCCCTGTGTTTTATCTTCGGTATTTCTGTAATAAATTCTTTGAGCCTTTAATCAATCTGAAACTGCTTAGAGTAGAATTCTTATAACCTGCAAATGGTAAGAAATCATTTAAGTGGACTTACTTAAATAGTACTTTTATGGAGCATTTATAATCTTACACTGAAAATAAAATAACAATTAAAACTAAAATCTATAAAAGCCTTGTTATAGATAACTTTTTTTTTTTTGCTTTGCCTTTTCTAATCAGCATGAGATAAATTAACACTCAGAATCAACTGTGCAAATTTCCACACTCCCAGGCCACTGAAGATACTTCAGGATTGTCTGCCTAATTAATGTTCATAATTTTTGGCTTTAGCCTCCCATGCTTGTCTCTGCAACGAAAACTCTGGGTGTTGATTATATTAGCTGACCATATATTTATTGTCCAAACTGGGAGACTTTAAAGAGAAACAAGAAGTGGGTTTTTTTTAATTAAATCAGGGCAAAAGTTATGTGTTACCCATACTGGTTGACCCAGGGCATATGGTCTTAGTGAGCATCTCATACTCAGGTGAATGGATGTATGAATGGGTGGAATAGTCCATGACTGATTTCATTTGGGGTTCATCCAGTTGGATTTTCTTTCTAATTTCTCAAATGAGTGTTATTTATTTGCATAACATTAACCCACTTTCTTTTATATATAATGAAAAATCCATCTTAAGAAAGATGTGATAGAAAAACCAATAAAGTTAAATAGAAAGTCTAGTAGTTTATTGCCACTTACTTCATTTTGCTCATTAATAAAATTAGTGGGTTGAATATTTGGTCATTTTCATCTTAAATACAAGAGTCTTGGAAAGCCCAGATGTCAATGTTTCTAATTTAAGAAGAAGGCTTCAAAACAATCTTTATGACCTACAGCAATGGTGGGCAAACTGGCCCACAAAATTTGGCCCATTGCCTAATTCTGTATGGCACTGTAAGCTAAGAATGTCGTTACAGGCAAACAGTTACAATTAATACGATGATGGGAGGCACTAACTTTGAGCCCTAGTTAGGTAAACTTGAAACCTTAATAAGAGCTTCGTTTTTCTCATTGGTAGGTTGATTTCACATTAATAGATTAGTATTGCAAAATAATTTGTAGTTTATTATTATTATCATTTTGTTTTGTGTTCCATCAACCAACCAAAAAAATGTTTGCGAATGTATTTCTTTCTCTCCGAATGATTTTGATTTTGCATCTTGATCTGTAAAAGCCTAAAATATGTACTGTCTGGTTCTTTACAGGAAAAGTTTGCTGGCTCCTGATCTATTGACTCTTGGTATCAGTTTTGATTCATCCAATGCAACCCAAACACAATTCAGAGATGGGACTTACTATTAATCTGTTCTGCTTTCTCACTATTGAAATCCAGGTGTGCCCCTGGCTATACTGGCAGCCCCAGCAGCCCTGGAGGTTCCTGCCAAGAATGTGAGTGTGACCCCCATGGCTCGCTGCCTGTCCCCTGTGACCCTATCACAGGGCTCTGCACGTGCCGACCTGGAGCCACAGGGCCGAAGTGTGACGGCTGCAAGCACTGGCATGCACGCGAGGGCGCGGAGTGTGTGTGTACGTATACTAACTCTGCCATTAATTCTGGGGGCCTTTGGTCCCTTGCTGTCTCCTTTCCAAGGAGAAAGACTGACTCTTTTTTTTTCTTTTCTGCAATAGCTAATGCTATTCTTCATTCTTTCTGACACTATCTACCTTACGCTGTTTGCCTGCTGTTTTTGTCTCTATCCCACTGAGCCAAGACAGCTGAGAAAATCCTCAGCAGGCTGTAGTCAGTTACGGGAAGACGTACAACAAAGCTCCCGGAGGCGTATTTTATTTGATTTTGTCCATCCATCTGGGAGTTTGCAGTTTTACATAAGGTTGGCACAGCCTTTGTGACAGATTAGAGATCTGGGTTCATTTCATTTTTCAGAATCCTCCTGAATTGGTAATAGGCTGGACAGACACTTTAGGCCTTGAATTACTACTGACTTTTCTTTCCTAGCTTGTGGAGAAATCCATGGGCATACTGCTTCATAACTTTCTCTTGAACTGCAGATCCTGGAAGCAGTGACAGTGAATGAGTATTTTTACTCATAGGTATAGTAAATGGAGAACAGTTTGCTCTCTTTTTTTTTATAACTGCTACTGAATTCAGTGATGCCCTACAGAAAGTGCATTGAATATCAGTGCTAAATATAATAGATTATGTCAGATATAATCTAAAATTAAGTTATTGATAAATTTAGGGAGGGACTGTTATGTTATTATTTGCCTTAAGGGAATTTACATTAGTGGTCTGAATTATTTTTTTAAAAAATAGAATGTAAAATTTTGAGTCGCTGTTATTTCAATACTTACCTATTTTAGTGTACTTATGCATGCCACTATTTCTGGTTTTAACATCTCATGTGTGTCTAAATCTTGATAGTGTTTTAATTAAAATTTTTGTTTGTGCTCCAGTTTTATAAGAATTTTCTTAAAAGCTAAGGCTGGCTAGCATGTATGTATGAATGTATGGTTTTGAAGTATAATTAACATACAATGTTATATTAGTTTCAAGTGAACAGCATATTGATTCATCACTACTGTACATTTCTCGTGGTCACCATTAGCATAGTCACTATCTGTCACCAAACAGTGTTGTTAAATATTATTTACTATATTCTCTATGCTATGCTTTCCACCCCCATGACTTACTTATTTTATAATTAAAAATTTGTACCCTGTAATCCCCTTAATCTATTTCACACATTCCCCTACAACCTTTCTGCCCATTATCAGTTTATTCGTATGTAAGAGTTTGATTTTTTGGTTTGTTACATTTCTTAGATTCCACTTATAAGTGAAATCTTATGGTATTTGGCTTTCTCTGTCTGACATATTTCATTTAGCTCAGTACCCTCTAGGTCCATCCATGTAGTTACAAATGGCAAGATTTCATTCTTCTTTATGGCTGAATAGTGTTCTACTGTGTCTATATACCACACCTTCTTGACACATTTATCTATCAATAGACATAGAGTTGCATATATGTTTTGAATTAGTATTTTCATTTTCTTTGGCTAAATACCCAGTGGTAGAATTACTAGATCATATGGTATCTCTATTTTTAATTTTTCGAGGAACCTCAATTCTGTTTTCCACAGTGACTATAACGTTTTACATTCCCACCAACAAAGAACAACAATTCCTTTATCTCTGCATCCTCCCCAATAATTATTTGTTATTTTTTGCCTTTTTTTTTTCTAGCCATTCTGACAGGTATAAGGTGATATCTCATCTTGGTTTTGATTTGCATATCCCTGATTAGTAATGTTGAGCAGCTTTTCATGTATCTGTTCACCATCTGTAGGTCCTCTTTGGAAGAATGTCTACTCAGATCCTCTGTTGATTTTTTTTTAATTTTTTAATGCTTTATTTATTTTTGAGAGAGAGAGATAGAGACAGCGTGAGCAGGGGAGGGCCAGAGAGAGGGAGACACAGAATCTGAAGCAGGCTCCAGGCTCTGAGCTGTCAGCACAGGGCCCGACGCGGGGCTCAAACCCACGAACCATGAGATCATGACCTGAGCCAAAGTTGAATGCCCAACTGACTGAGCCACCTAGGTGCCCCATCTCTGTTAACTTTTAATTGGATTGTTTGGTTTTTTACTGTTGAGTGTAGAAGTATTTTTTGTATGTTTTGTATATTAGCTTCTTATCAGATATATCACTTGGAAATATCTTCTCCCATTTAGTAGGTTGTCTTTTAGTTTGGTTGGTTGTTTCCTTTGATGTGCGAAAGCTTTTTATTTTGGTGTAATCCCAACAGTTTATCTTTTCTTTTGTTTACCTTGCCTGAAAAGACATATCTAGAAAATGTTGCTAAGGCCAGTGTCAAAGAAGTAATGCTTATATCTTCCTCAAGGAATTTTATGGTTTCAGATATCACAGATAGGTCTTTAATCCATTTCGAGTTTATTTTTCTGTATGATACAAGAAAGTGGTCCAGTTTTATTCTTTTCCTTGTAGCTATCCAGTTTTACCAACAGCAGTTGTTGAATATACTGTCTTTCCCCCATTTTATAGTTTTGCCTTCTTTGTTGTTGATTAACTCACTATATAAGCCTGTCATTTTCTTTGGACTCTTTATTCTGTTCCATTGATCTATGTGTCTGTTGTGCCAGCTAATACTGTTTTGATTACTACAGCTTTTGGTATATCTTGATATCTAAGATTGTGATATGTCTAGCTTTGTTCTTCCTTCTCAAGATTGCTTGGGCTATTTGGAGTCTTTTGTAGTTCCATGAAAATTTTAGTATAATTTGTTCTATTTCTGTGAAAAATGCTATTGGTATTTTGAGATGGATTTCATCAAATCTGATTGTCTTGGGTAGTACAGACATTTTAACAATATTAATTTTTCCAGTCCATGAGCATGGGGGTGTCTTCCAATTTGTGTCATCTTAAATTTCTTTCATCAGTGTTTTAGAGTACAGGTCTTTCACCTCCTTAAGTTTATGCCCATATATTTTATTATATTTGGTCAAATTGTAAGTGAGATTACTTTCTTATTGTATTACTTCATTATTAGTGCATAGAAATGCAACTGATTGGAGCACCTGGGTGGCTCAGTTGGTTGGGCATCCAACTTTGGCTCAGGTCATGATGTCGTGGTCCATGAGTTCGAGCCCTGTATTGGGCTCTATGCTGACAGCTCAGAGCCTGGAGCCTACTTCAGATTTGTGTGTCTCTCTCTCTCTGCTGCTCTGCTCTGTCTCTCTCTGTCTCTCAAAAATAAATAAACATATAAAAGGAAAAATAAAGAAATGCAACTGATTTATATTTATGTATATTAATTTTGTACCCAGGAAATTTACTGAGTTTATTTGTCAGTACTAACAGTTTTTTGGTGGAGCCTTTAAGGTTTTCTATGTATAGTATCATGTCAATCTGCAAGTAGTGACAGTTTTACTTCCTTCTTATCAATGGCTGCCTTTTGTCTTCTTCTTGTCTCATTGTTATTAGCTAGGACGTCTGACACTATGTTGAATGAAAAGTGGTGACTGTGGACATCTTTGTTTGTTCCTGATATTAAGGGAAAGCTCTCAGTTTTTCACCATTGAGTATGAATAACTGTTGGTTTTTTTATGTTGAGCTTTTATTATGTTGAGGCATATTCTCACTAAATGTACTTTGTTGAGAGTTTTTATTATGAGTGGATATTGTATTTTGTCAAATGCTTTTTCTGCATATATTGGAATGATCATGTGTCTTTTTTCCCTTTATCTTATAATATGATATCTTATACTGATTTTTAAAATAATTTTTTAATATTTATTTATTTGTTTGGGAGGAGGGGCAGAATGGAAAGGAGAGTATCCCAACCCGGCTTTCTGCTGTCAGCACTCAGCCCAACATGGGACTTGGTCTCACAAATCATCAAATCATGACATGAGCCAAAATCAAAAGTCAGACACTTAACCAACTGAGCCACCCAGGCACCCATATACTGATTGAGTTTTGGATATTGCATCCCTGGAATAACTCTCACTTGAATTATTTTTTAATGGGTTGTTGATTTTAGTTTGGTAATATTTTGTTGAGAATTTTTACATTCTATTATCATCAGAGATATTGACCTGCTTTTCTCTTTTCTTTGTATCTTTGTCTGGTTTTGGTATCAGGTTAATTTAGTACTGGCCTCATAGGATAAATTTGGAAGTTTTCCTTGCTCTTCTATTTTTTGGAATACTGTGAGGAGAATAGGTATTTATTCTTCTTTAAATGTTTGGTAGATTTGTGTAGCCATCTGGTCTTGGATTTTTGTTTTGGGGGACTTTACTAATTCAATTTGATTACTTAGAATTGGTCTATTCATGGGGCGCCTGGGTGGCTTAGTCGGTTAAGTGTCCGACTTTCGCTTAGGTCATGATCTCGCGGTTCGTGGGTTCGAGCCCCGCGTCGGGCTCTGTGCTGACTGCCAGCTCAGAGCCTGGAGCCTGTTTCAGAGTCTGTCACTCCCTCTCTCTCTGACCCTCTCCTGCTCACGCTGTCTTTCTCTCTCCTAGAAATAAATAAAAAACATTAAAAAATTTTTTAGAATTGGTCTATTCATATTTTCTGTATCTTCCTGATTTACTTTTGGAAGATTATAGGTTTATAGGAAATTAACCATTTCTTTCAGATTGCCTCAATTTGTTGACATACTTTTTCATAGTATTCTCTTATAACTTCTCTGGAGTCAGTTGTTATTTATCCTCTTTCATTTCTGATTTTATTTATTTGAATCCTTTCTTCTTTTCTTGATGAATCTGTCTAAAGTCTTTTCAATTTTGTTTATCTTTTTAAAGAACAAGCTCTTAATTTCATTGATCATTTTTATTGTTTTTCTTCAGTCTCTACTTCATTTATTTCTGTTTTAATCTTTATTATTTCCTTTCTTCTACTAGCTTTGGATTTTGTTTTTTCTTCTTTATCTAGCTCTTTTCAATGTAAGGTGATGTTGTTAATTTAAGATTTTTCTTGTGACCTGAGGTAGGCCTGTATTGCTGGAAACCTCCCTCTTAGAACTGCCTCTGCTGCATTCCAAGG